AGATTTTTTGTCTATCTTATAAGATAAACACTTTAGAGATTGAATATTTCAAGTAAACTAATTGTAAGTAAATTTCACATTAATGCATATAGATGTTTAATCATGAATGTACTAAATAAGTACACAAGACGAACAGTGAGTGAGTGAGTGAGAATGAGAGAGTGTGTGTGTGTGCGTGTGTGTGTGAGAAAGAGAGAGAGAGAGAGAGAGAGAGAGAGTTAGCCAAATAACCCCGCACGCTGCCGATCATGAATGTACTAAATAAGACACAAGACGAACAGTGAGTGAGTGAGTGAGAATGAGAGAGTGTGTGTGTGTGTGAGTGTGGTGTGAGAAAGAGAGAGAGAGAGGTGAGAGAGAGAGAGAGAGTGAGCAGAGAGAGAGAAGAGAGAGAGAGAGAGAGAGACGAGAGAGAGAGAGAGAGAGAGAGAGAGAAGAGAGGGGAGAGAGAAGAGCGAGAGAGAGATGAGAGAGAGAAGAGATGAGAGAGAGAGAGAGAGCAGAGAGAGAGAGAGAGAGAGAGATCGAGAGAGAGAGAGAGAGAGAGAGAGAGAGAGAGAAGAGAGAGAGAGAGAGAGAGAGAGAGAGTAGCCAACATAACCCCGCACGCTGCCGATATGGCGGAGCGCCACTATCGCCATCTGTTGTAAACGTGCGAGATGGACAAAATTACCACTACATGCATCTTGCATGTGTTGTGTACGTGTGATATATGTGTGCGCATGTGTTGTATACGTGTGAATACGTGTAGCACGATACTACTATGTATGCGTGGTCGATGATGATAATGATGATGATAATGATGATAATGATGATAATGATGACGGGGACGTTTCTTAATAGAAATTTTTCATATTTCGACTTTGCATTTATATATCTCTGCTTACAAATCACGTAGAGCAGAAATAAAGACACTTTATTATATAATTCGAACTCAATCTATCGATTAAGTCTAGTATAAACTCGATTGCTTCAGCCATTATTGAGGATTCGAAATATTATAAAGACTCAAATGTCCGACTCGCGTTAAGATACACGGTGTCTCCGCTACGCCCTTAACTGGTCGCGAGACACTACCGTGCCTCTTGATATAATATATATTACACCCGATATTAATCGATCGAATAAATAATACATAAATATGTGTGTGTGTGTGTGTGTGTGTGTGCGCGCATGATTATAAACAATTTTAATATTATTAATATACATTTTTTTTGTTAGCTTAAATAATCTAACGTATTATCAATTTTGATCCGAACTTTTTGCCAAATAAATCTCTCTACATGAACTTCTTATGCACGCTATTTTAGAAGGATTTTCTCTCTTTTGCAAGATATTTACGATGATTTTTTATTATACCGAGAAATCTTATACAATATATTTTTTGATTTTTTTTATACATATAAAAGGCAATAAGAGCTAATTAAGTTCTTTCATTAAGATTTATTTGTGGAAAAAGATTTATAACATAAAATATTAGACAGAAAAAAATTCTTACGTTTTGGTTGCTCTTTTCAACTTTCTTCAGCGCATAATTTAAAATAAAGATTAATAGAAATTAACAATCAATTATTCGTAACTGTCAATATAATAATACTATACAGAAACACAGTAATTCGCATAAAACTACGTCAAGTTATTAAAAAAAAAAAAAAAAACGAAATCAACGCATTTTTAAACATGAGCATTTTTATATATTCTATTTCTCGAATCGTTATTCTATGTAATTGTCGCGAAACAGATCTCTCGCTAATTGTTCGGTTAAGAGGTCGGTTGCGAATCTCGATAACAGCAATTGTTAATATGTTTATAAAATCATTGTATACGAAAAATTAACATTAAAAGATAAGTAAATTAATAAAAATAGACTTACAATTAAATCGAGTTAGATATTATATTGTGACGTAAAGGCTTTTAAATATTGATTGTTCGACGTTACAATAACGAATGATTTTATCTCCAGAGAGACGACCACACAACAAAGAAAATAATTAGTTGTTTATGTTTTTAACTTTTATATCTTAGGTAGTCTATGTATTATATGACATAGATTACTGGCAAGCCATCAATATCTGTTTTTAATTAAAACTATTATTTTGCCTTTTTATGAATATCATCTCAAAAATCAATTTCAGAAGATAGTTATTTACGAGTAATATTTTGATTACTAACTCTAAATTTTCTTTGTGAAATTCTGGATTTGATAATAAGAAGGCCCTCACTAAATGACAATGAACGATATGTCTGTACTAAAATGTAATTGTCATTTTTCCATCTAGTAAGTAAATCATGAAAGTTCAGATTAATTTTTTAATCGGATACTTATTTAAAACTAAATAAGTTTCATCATTGCTTAACATGTCTTCAATCTTTTCGATGTATTTATCTCTATCTAAAGCCACAGTTATATTACCCTTATCTGCTCTTGTTAGTATTAAATTATCATTTTATTTTGAATTTCAATCCGCACTAAAAAAGAGCAGACACACACACTTCTGCACCATTCACAATATTATAATTTTAAATAATAATCCTTAAGGTTGCCAGTAATAATTAATAAAAACCACTCCTCAATGTTTAAAGTCGACCAGACTGGCAATAATTTATTATAAATAATTATTTGAAATACAACAACGTTATAATTATAATTTTAGATTATTCAATAATATGTCGCGAACGACTGCGGCATCGTCTGGATAATGCTGTCCTAGCATGTTATTTGGCACATAATGAGTATCTTCAAATTTACAGAAATATTTTCCAACTTCTGGATTATTTATCCATTCTTTGCATACCGATGTTATAACATCTAAAATATAAAAACGTATAAATAAAAAAATATAGTATCAAATGTATTATGCCATGTAACATAAACAATATAAACAAAAATATCACAGAATATACAGTATATAAAGTATAATGAAGTATTACATATAATACACATACATTGTGGAACGTAACACAGATCATTCTCGCTTAACAAAACGTAATGCGGTAGCAATGTCCAATTATCGATGCTATTTTTCTGTATACATTGCTCTTCAACATCTTCCAGAATACAACATGTTTCCTTATACCTAAAACGTTCAATTTGGCATTTGTTGTGCCACCCAATGACCCCAGCAACATCTTTTCGTGTATTATCTTCCATTTTATGATTATGTGTAACTATCAATCCAATCGCATATTTTAGATTAGGCGATCTTTTTTTCCGAAATGTTTCATCTTCTGGAGTACATATTTCCTAAAAATTAGTATAGTTGACGCTTTTATATATATTATGTAATTTATACTAATGTTATAATTTAAATTATAAATAATTATAATTAGATTTTTGCACGTATAATTATTATATGTTATTTTGTTACATATCTTTAATTTATAATTTGTACAATAAGTGAATTCAATTGTCTTACCTCATCATAATAACATAATGATGGTAATTTATAACCGGAATAGTAAAAAGAAAAGCAAGCCACGTCTCCCAAAAAATATATATCCAAAATGGTTTCTTCAACCGATAATGGCGGCTTTAAAAAAAATTGTTATTAAATTTTGAATCAAAATCACTTATGATATATGTAATGATTAAATTCAAATTATAAATGTGTGTAAAAAAATACATTTAAATATATTTTCGAAACTTTATAATCTAAAACTAATGTTATATATTATATGCTTTTTTAATTTATTAGAATTAAGCTTATTGATTTCAATGTTCTTAAAATATTTTACAGAGGAAGCATCGCTGATTATGTCTTTTTATCAAACATCGCTGAATTAAACGTCGTCCTGTTAGGAGTTATAAACTTTAGAAAGTGAAAGTCCAAAACTACCAATATTTTATATAAATATTAATTACTTACCAAATGTAGATTTGTGTAAAAAAATGAACATAGAGACGGTACTAATTGGCATTTTCTTATGTTAGAAATCTTTGCATTATCTGAATTATCTGTCCATTTAAACGTGAAACATTCTCTATTTCTGTACACTCTCTGTATAAACAATAAAGAAATAACATGTACATGTACATCAGTGCGTAATATAAATGTTTAAAAATAATATTCATTCAATGATAAATTTTTTAGAAAAAAGCTATATTACTTTGTATAATTAAATATTATATTAATATTTTGGAATAATTTAATTGCATAACTTAAGATACATAAAAATAATTATAACTTGTAATGATATATATAAGATTTAACTTGATGCAAAAACGAAGATTTTTTTTTAATATATGTAATATTATTTTTTTTAACATCGACTTATATTATAATGCAATAAATAAATTATTTGAGAGGGAAATCATGGACAAACATTCTTTTATTTGTGTCACAAACAACCACAAAATAATGATATTTAAAAAATATCGTTTATGTTATTAAATTTTAGCGCTCGTATTTTAAATAGAAACAACAAAGTGAATATTATATAAGCCTTTTGATGAATGTGAAATAGATATTAAATATAAACAACTTTAATTATTTCAGAAAATTACAATCTTTAAATACGGAACATTTCAACATTTACTGTTGTCTCTTCAGTCACTATTATATGAAAATTAGATTATAAACAGAAATAAATAAATGGTCAAAAATTATGTTGTTTATGTATACATTGATTGTTTAAAATCTGTAAAAAATGTTTATTTATATTGGTTGTTTCTTATGCTGTGAATATCTGTATATTGTAGTTGTTTGTAACACATTTGAAAAATAAATGATTGTTTATGGTTCTTCTTAACTGGTTAGATTGTTGCAATATTACACAAGTCGGCACCCGCAAATTTTTTTAAACTACAAATAATAATAATTAATACATATAATAATAAATTAATATATATACATGTGAGTATTGCCGTATAACTAATTGTGCGTATAGTACGAATACTCGACAAAATAAATAAAAATAATTTTAATAATAAAATTATATATTTACCGGATTGCCAATCCAAATGTGTTTTTGAGTACAATTATCGTCTATATCGTGTTCTGTTGTTACAACATGTAAACCCAATCTGTTTGCAACGCAGATATATATTGCCAACCACAACGTTTGTTTATAATATAATGTGTCTCCTTTAGTCTGTCGAAGAATAATAAGTGTGAAAGTATAATAAAAATAATTATAATAGAGAATTATTATTATATTTAAGATAAATTAAAAAAAAAAAAAAAAAATATATATATATATATATATATATATATATATAATTCATGATAGATAATAAAATACATACATAAAAAACTTAACATACCGACATTTTGAAAATAGGATTCATACTTATTTGATTCGTTTCATCCATGGTTTATAAGAATCAAAACTTATAATAATTATGTCGATACATCCTTAATCGACGTTGCGTCTTTTACGCACCAAAAATTCTTATTAATACGATTAGTTCTCCAAATCGATAATTGTTCAGATGATATGGACAATATTGGATGCCGACGATATTTATCCTTCAACAAGTTTAATACGTCTTGCACGATATTGTCTATGAATTTATCTATATACAACATAGTAATACCCTTATTGGGATGACAATATTGTAATAATACTACAATTAAATCTTCCAAACGCTGCATATGAATGGGTTTTTTATAATTGTTTTCCAAAGTAAAGAATTAAAAATGTTGTGATACAGACAGTAAAATATCATTTTGCTGTAGTATCTTTCTGTTAAATTGCATTGGCTGAAAAATGTACATGTTATAAAATAAATACAGAATAATCAATTAAATATACCTATGATTTTAATGATATTTAAAATACATTTAGTCACATACCGTGGATCTTGTTGATATATATTTCTAATAAGTTCATCATGTAAAATCAACATATTTAAAGGGTGCTTTTCTGCATGCAGATCGAGAGATTGTATATCAATATAGTCGTATTGTAGATTATGGTAATAATACATCTGAGACATTCGAGGCACATAAAGCCACAAGTTTTCCGCACATTTCATTCCCTCTCTAAAATCTTCAATATTTAAGTCATTAAATTCAATGCCCATTTTGTCTTTACAAAACAGCTGTACAGTGGGATATCTAAAATTACAAACACTTTTAAAATACTTTTAAAAATTTTCAAAATTTATACTATGGAAATTAAACTCATCATCCCATATTATATATTCGAATCAAATAGAAGAAACTGATGATGCTCAATGATTCTTAGATTCCGGAAATTCTAAAATGTGAAAAACGCAAAACGTTTGCGCAAAATACTATTTTAAAATACATACATATTTACGCATACTATATATTTTGATTTGTTTTACAGTTTTTTATTGCGACAAACTGATATTTTATGTTTAATGACGATGTTGTAATGAAATGTAAAATAATAAAAAAATTTGTTTTCTATTTTATTACTGCATCATAGCACGATAAAATATGTGCACAGATATATATATATATGTATATATATATATATATATATATATATATATATAAGTTATTTTATATATATATATATATATATATATATATCTGTCATATAAATTATTATTAAATAACAGAGAAACTTTTTCGCATGTCTGAAATTCTAGGTGCAATCTTAGAAACTTCTCTACTGATGAAGTTATAATTAAAATGTATACTCTTTTGTATAAAATAATTATTTTTAAGTTTTTGAGTTTGTTTTTGAATCATATTGTTATACAAAAAAAAACCTTATTAACAATTATATTATTATTCTTACAATTGCACGTGTAGATATCGATAATATAATAAAAAATTATTCTTATAACAAAAATCTATTCTTAAAATTATTCTTATATACCAAAAATTGTTTTTTCAGAAATTGTTTCTTATAAAAGTTAATATCATTCATAAATCTTTTAAAACTGGAGAAACTTTTTTTTTATAATTTTTAGTTGCAATTTTTTTTATTTGCACAATTTTATTCAGAAAGTTTAATCAAGTCATGTTTTAAAACGACACAATATCTGCAAAAATTTTGCGAATTTAAAAAGGCTAAGTATAAATAAATTTTAAAATATCTTATATATAAATTCAGTTAGATATATTTTAAATGTCAGAATATTATTATTTAATTCTTCAAAAAGGCAGTATTTTGCGTAAAGTTATTTAAATATATTTTTCGCCAGGTTTTTGCTAAGTTCCTTTTTATGTGATGAGTCCATCAAGTAAAATAACAAAAAAGTTCATACATAAAGAAACTTACCTCTGAGCATATTTTTTCTTCCAGAGAGTTTCATAATGGGATATCCATGCAAATCCCTTGCACGTGGAACTAAAATTCTCAACATCGCTCAAACTAATGGTTTCGTTTTCCAGAATACTTAATATAATTTCGTTTGATAAATTCTGTATCGTGATCATTACCGTTAAAGTAAAAATAATTTGCAGTTTTAATCTTAACGAATTGAATGATATTCTACATATGCACCAACTCCGCTTTGTAGAAAGCACGTGGCTTACCGCGTCGTGGACACCTATAGACTGATGGAGGGAACAAAGAAAAAAAGGTGACTGTCCACGATGCAGTAAACTTCGTACATAATTTCTATAGAGCGAAGTTGGTGCATAGAAACCGCAAGCTGTATTCATATTGTACGTGTGTTTTTATATATATTTTTGTTTAATTTAATAATAATTCTTTATTAATTCCTCAATTTAACGTACACATGCACTAAATTGTAAATATATGATATTTGTACAAAATTTTGGATGTGCAAGGATAACTGTTTTGAAAATGCTGGAAGAAAACACACTTTCATGCGATTGATTTTTTTTAATAAGATGTTTAACAATAAATTTTTAAAATAAATAATTATTATAATTAAATGATTTGCAGCAAATTGGGCTACAAAAGGGCTATTAAGTTATTTTTACAGTTATGACATTTATTTTTATACGATGGGCGTTATTTAAATTATTCTTAAATTGAGAATCGAACATATCTATTTTATAGTTGTAAAGAAAATACTTCCTACATACAAATTATATAATATAAAAAACGACGAATTTTATATACATAATCATGCATTGAGATTCTTCAACGACAAAGCATTATTTTTTTATATACTCAATTGTAATATATATATATATAAAAACTCAAAAGCTGTATTCCTCAAAGTTGCATGTACGTTAAATTGAGGAATTAATAAAGAATTGTTAATAGATATTAATAAAACATATTTGCGTTTCATTTTAATTATTTTGTATGTACATTCTCATTTTAATTTTCAATATATATTATTTTGTAAAGTTTCTTAAAGTAGAGAATTTAAAATGCAAAACTGCAATTTATATATTATTTTGGAGTTTTTACAACTATTTTTCTTGGATTCTATCCTGAGATTTTGGCCTACGTTTTTTGTTATTGGGGAAAAAAATGTATTTTCTTTTGTACAATTTTCAGGTCTTGTTCTATTGTTTGTCTTACAGGGTTTGTCCGGAAAGTAATGCGTCGCATTTTTTTGTGACGCGACTATACATCGCAAAGCGATGGGCCGGTTGGGGAGGAAGGGGGGTACCCTTAGCTTTCCAACGGTAGGTCGCTCAATTGTTTCCATGCGCTTGGAGGGTTAGGACGGCTTATTCTGTGAACCTCTGCTTAGTGGTCGCGTCGAACTTGTGATGGAGAGAACGATAGAGCAACGCTATGCGATAAAGTTTTGCGTGAAGCTGGACAAGACGCCGCTGGAAACTTTTGAAATGCTCAAGAAAGTTTTCGGGGACGATTGCCTTTCCAAATCGCAGTCAAACAGATGGCACAAGATGTTTAGAGAAGGTCGGAAGGAGGTCGCCGACGAGGCCCGCGCAGGACGCCCGTCAACATCGCGAACGGACGACAATGTGACTCGTGTGCGCCAATTATTGAATTCAGACCGTCGAATGAATGTTCGCTTAATGTCGGAATTATTGAACTTGCCGAAAACGATTGTTCACGAGATTGTATCGGAAGACTTGCCATGCGGAAGATTTGCGCAAAACTTGTGCCCAGAGTGTTGACCGATGCGCAAAAGCAACACCGAGTGGAAGTTTGTGAAGAACTCAAGCAACTCTGTGCAGATAATCCCAATTTCCTGAACAACGTTATCACTGGGGATGAGTCATGGGTCTTTCAGTACGATCCGGAGTCAAAGAGGCAGAGTGCGGAATGGCACACGACGTACAAGCTACTTCGACGGCCTCCCTGAACAGCATCCCAGTCAAGGAGTTCCAGAAATCTTATGACGCATGGAAATCGCGTTGGCAAAATGTATTGACGCAGAAGGGTCATACTTCGAACAATTTTAAGTTGTTTTACCTATGCGATCAATAAATTCTTTTTTAAAAAAATGCGACGCATTACTTTCGGACAAACCCTGTACACTATAGACTATGAATTATCTACGACATATAATAATAGCAATTTTTGTTTGCTGCGTATGCTAAGTTATTTCTATTACAACTTTATTGATTTTTTTCTCAATATTTTTAAAATTGTTTTTACATTCTGCAAAAAATCTAAATATATTACTATCAAAACCGACGCTTTTTATTTCCAAGGAAGAGATAAACGGCTTATCTTGTATATAATTTATTATGTTATTTATATAGAAACTAGTGTGAGATGCATATTTATTACAAGATTTTATTACATTACATTAATTACAAGATTTCATTACATCGTAGTTTTTTTCACACTGTTCTCTTTAATTTACTCTAACTTCTTGTTTTAAAATTGAACAATTATGACAACAGATTTCTAATTCTCAATTGTCGTTTATCTTTTGAATTCTACTTTATCAAATATAACTTATAATTGAAAAAGAATGCAGTAAAGTAGCCTTCTCAATCACCAAATACCAAAGTACTAATTATTGACTGTTGAAAACATTAGAAAATTCAAATTCTTGACAATTCTTTATTAAAAAAACCCTAATAATATTATATGAATTTACTTCTTTATTAAAAAACATTTAATATAATGTTATATGAATTTACTCTATACATAAATTGTCGTTATTCTTATAAAAAGAAAATTTAATTGTGACATGAAAAGTCATCAAAACCTATTAAAGGAATCAATGAGTCATCTTACAATTAGATCACTCTCACTTCCATCGATGATATCTATATATCATATATATTACACCCGATATTAATCGATCGAATAAATATAACATAAATATGTGTGTGTGTGTGTGTGTGTGTGCGCGCATGATTATAAACAATTTTAATATTATTAATATACATTTTTTTTGTTAGCTTAAATAATCTAACGTATTATCAATTTTTGATCCGAACTTTTTGCCAAATAAATCTCTCTACATGAACTTCTTATGCACGCTATTTTAGAAGGATTTTCTCTCTTTTGCAAGATATTTACGATGAATTGTTATTATTTACCGAGAAATCTATATACAATATATTTTTTGAATTTTTTATATACATATAAAAGGCAATAAGAGCTAATTAAGTTCTTTCATTTAGATTTATTTGTGGAAAAAGATTTATAACATAAAATATTAGACAGAAAAAAATTCTTACGTTTCGGTTGCTCTTTTCAACTTTCTTCAGCGCATAATTTAAAATTAAAGATTAATAGAAATTAACAATCAATTATTCATAACTGTCAATATAATAATACTATATAGAAACACAGTAATTCGCATAAAACTACGTCAAGCTATTAAAAAAAAAAAAAAACGAAATCAACGCATTTTTAAACATGAGCATTTTTATATATTCTATTTCTCGAATCGTTATTCTATGTAATTGTCGCGAAACAGATCTCTCGCTAATTGTTCGGTTAAGAGGTCGGTTGCGAATTTCGATAACAGCAATTGTTAATATGTTTATAAAATCATTGTATACGAAAAATTAACATTAAAAGATAAGTAAATTAATAAAAATAAACTTACAATTAAATCGAGTAAGATATTATATTGTGACGTAAAGGCTTTTAAATATTGATTGTTCGACGTTACAATAACGAATGATTTTTATCTCCAGAGAGACGACCACACAACAAAGAAAATAATTAGTTGTTTATGTTTTTAACTTTTATATCTTAGGTAGTCTATGTATTATATTGACATAGATTACTGGCAAGCCATCAATATCTGTTTTTAATTAAAACTATTATTTTGCCTTTTTATGAATATTATCTCAAAAATCAATTTCAGAAGATAGTTATTTACGAGTAATATTTTGATTACTAACTCTAAATTTTCTTTGTGAAATTCTGGATTTGATAATAAGAAGGCCCTCACTAAATGACAATGAACGATATGTCTGTACTAAAATGTAATTGTCATTTTTCCATCTAGTAAGTAAATCATGAAGGTTCCAGATTAATTTTTTAATCGGATACTTATTTAAAACTAAATAAGTTTCATCATTGCTTAACATGTCTTCAATCTTTTCGATGTATTTATCTCTATCTAAAGCCACAGTTATATTACCCTTATCTGCTCTTGTTAGTATTAAATTATCATTTTATTTTGAATTTCAATCCGCACTAAAAAAGAGCAGACACACACACTTCTGCACCATTCACAATATTATAATTTTAGATTATTCAATAATATGTCGCGAACGACTGCGGCATCGTCTGGATAATGCTGTCCTAGCATGTTATTTGGCACATAATGAGTATCTTCAAATTTACAGAAATATTTTCCAACTTCTGGATTATTATTTATCCATTTTTTGCATACCGATGTTATAGCATCTAAAATCAAAACGTAAAAATAAAAAATATAGTATTAAATATATTATGCCATGTAACATAAACAATATAAACAAAAATATCACAGAATATACAATATATAAAGTATAATGAAGTATTACGTATAATACACATACATTGTGGAACGTAACACAAATCCTTCTCGATTAACAAAACGTAGTGCGGTTGCGATTTCCAATTATCGATGTTATTTTTCTGTATACATTTTTCTGTAACATCATACGAACTACTACAATATGTACTAATATACTTAAAGCGTTCAATGTGGCATTCGTTGTGCCACCCAATAATGACCCCAGCAACATCTTTTTGTGTATTATCTTCCATTTTATGCTTATGTGTAACTATCAATCCAATCGCATATTTTAGATTAGGCGATCTTTTTTTCCGAAATGTTTTATCTGGAGTACATATTTTCTGAAAAATTAGTATAATTGACGCTTTTATATATATTATGTAATTTATATTATTGTAATAATTTGAATTATAAATAATTATAATTAGATTTTTGCACATATAATTATTATATGTTATTTTATTACATATCTTTAATTTATAATATTTACAATAAGTGAATTCAATTCTCTTACCTCATCATAATAAATTATTGATTTTGCTCTATAAGAAAGATCGTCAAAGGGAAAGCAGCCACGTACCCACAAAAAATATATATCCCGAATGGTATTGTCTGCAACCGATCTTGGCAGCCCAAGCTTTAAAAAAAATTGTTATTAAATTTTGAATCAAAATCACTTATGATATCATATGTAATGATTAAATTCAAATTATAAATGTGTGTAAGAAAAAATACATTTAGATATATTTTCGAAACTTTATAATCTAAAATTAATGTTATATATTATATGCTTTTTTTAATTTATTAGAATTAAGCTTATTGATTTCAATGTTCTTAAAATATTTTACAGAGGAAGCATCGCTGATTATGTCTTTTATATCAAACATCGCTGAATTAAACGTCCGCCCTGTTTTGGAGTTATAAACTTTAGAAAGTGAAAGTCCACAACTACCAATATTTATATAAATATTAATTACTTACCAAATGTAGATTTCTGTCAGAAAATAAAGAAATAAAGCGAGGCGGCACTTGGCATTTTTTTATGTGAGAAATCTTTGCATTATCTGTATTATCTGTCCATTCAAACGTGAAACATTCTCTATTTTCTATATACTTTCTATATAAACAATAAAGAAATAACATGTACATATACATCAGTGCTTAATATAGATGTTTAAAAATAATATTCATTCAATGATAAATTTTTTAGAAAAAAGCTATATTCTTTGTATAATTAAATATTATATTAATATTATATTTTATTATCTATTATTTGTGGAATAGTTTAATTGTATAATTTAAGATGCGCATAACAAAAATAATTATAACTTTTAGAGATATTTATAAGTTTTAACTTTATTTAATTTAATTTAAAATTGTATAAATAAGATTGTCCAATTCGCTTGTCGACTTCTCAATTTTAAATCATTCTGCACATAAAAGTATCTATTGAAATAAACATATCAATGAAATAAATAATCCACCAAATATACTGGGTGTCTGATGACTCGCCTTTCGTACGTTAATGGGAGATTTTTTCAGGCAATTTGGAGACGATTTTTTCTCAGCGAAAATGTCGAGAAAGGTCATAATGTTATTAATGTTCCAAATTTTTGAGATTATGTATCTTTGTAACTAAGCCTTAAATTAAAATTCTATTAAAGTAAATACGAGACGTCTTTTTAGACACAACGTTTAATTTTATATATTTTTATATTTGTAACATGTTATAAGTTTTTTCTTATCGCTGTACTTGTTATGTTATCTCAATTATTACTGCATTTGAAAATAACTTAAACCACAGATCGAAATGTCATGTTATTTTGATTCAATAAAAAAGTTATTTATTCTGTTCATAATATTAGTTTTGTTGAAAGTACAAAATAATGTTATCTTCAATTGTAAAAATTAAATTTATGTATTATTTTAAAATCTATAACATATTTAAATTTTATATTAAAAATAAGAGAAAATTTATAAAGCTAATCAATAAACCTTATAAAATTCTATAATTTTTGTCTGAATAGTTGTATAAAATAATTTATTTTCGAAACGTTTAACTAGTGCAAGACTATTGATACACGCTGCATATGAAATCAAATCTTAGCTTGAAACATGGATTAAGGTAATAAATTACTGATGCAGTTTTGTAAAAAAAGAAATTAATTAAAAATTTTATAAGATCGTACAATTCTATTGTCGACTTCTCAATTTTAAATCATTCTGCACATAAAAATATGTATTGAAATAAACATATCAATGAAAAAAATAATCCACGAAATATATAAGCTGACATATATAATATAAAATTGTGGTTTTAGAAAAAAACTATATTACTATGTATTATTAAATTTATATTAATATTTTTGGAATAATTTCATTGCATAATTTAAGATACATAAAAATAATTATAACTTTTAATGATATTTATAAGTTTTAACTTTATGCAAAAACGAAGATTTTTTTTTAATATATGTAATATTATTTTTTTAACATTGACTTATATTATAATGCAATACATAAATTATTTGAGAGGGAAATCATGGACAAACATTCTTTTATTTGTGTCACAAACAACCACAAAATAATGATATTTAAAAAATATCGTTTATGTTATTAAATTTTAGCGCTCGTATTTTAAATAGAAACAACAGAGTGAATTATGTATAAGCCTTTTGATGAGTGTGAAATAGATGTTAGATATAAACAACTTTGATTATTTCAGAAAATTACAATCTTTAAATACGGTACATTTCAACATTTACTGTTGTCTCTTTAGCCGCTCATATGAAAATTAGAATATAAACAGAAATAAGTAAATGGTCAAAAATTATGTTGTTCGAAATGACGCTAAAGTTTGTTACAAACATTTAATGTTAATTATGTATACATTGATTGTTTAAAGTCTGTAAGAAATGCTTATTTATATTTGTTGCTTCCTTTGATGTGAATATCTGTATATTGTGGTTGTTTGTAACACATTTAAAAAATATATAATTAATTATAGTTCTTTTTAACTGGTTAATTTGTTGCAATATTACACAAGTCGGCACCCGTAAATTTTTTTAAACTATAAAATATAATAATTAATACAAATAATAATAAATTAATATATATACATGTGAGTATTGCCGTATAACTACTTGTGCGTATAGTAAGTACGAATACTCGACAAAATAAATAAAAATAATTTCAAAGATAAAATTATATATTTACCCGGATTGCCAAACCAAATGTATATTAGAGTGTAGAGCATAATTATTTTCTATACCGTGCATTGTTGTTAGAACATGTAAACCCAATCTGTTTGCAACGCAGATATATATTGCACACCACAACGCTTGTCTATAATGTAATGTGTCTTCTTTTGTCTGTCGAAGAATAATAAGTGTAAAAGTATAATAAAAATAATTATAATGAAAAATTATTATTATATTTAAGATAAATTAAAAAACTATAGTTCATGATAAATAATAAAAAACATACATAAAAAACTTAACATACCGACATATTGAAAATAGGATTCATACTTATTTGATTCGGTTTCATCCATGATTTATAAGAATCAAAACTTATAATAATTATGTCGAGTACATCCTTAATCGACGTTGCGTCTTCTACGCACCAAAAATTCTTATTAATACGATTAGTTCTCCAAATTGATAATTGTTCAGATGATATGGACAATATTGGATGCCGAAAATATTTATCTTTCAACAAGTTTAATACGTCTTGCATGATATTGTCTATGAATTTATCTATATACAACAAAGTAATACCCTTATTGGGATGACAATATTGTAATGATACTACAATTAAATTTCCAAACGCTGCATACGATTGGGTCTTTTTATAATTCTTTTCATAAGTAAAGGATTAAAAATGTCTTGATACAGACTGTGCAATATCATTTTGCTATAATATCTTTCTGTTAAATTGCATTGACTGAAAAATGTACATATTATAAAATAAATACAGAATAATCAATTAAATATACCAATGATTTTTAATGATATTTTAAAATACATTAAGTCACATACCGTGGATCTTGATGATATATTTTTCATAAGTTCATCACGTAAAATCAACAAATTTAAAGGGTGCTTTTCTGTATGCAGATCGTCTTTATGTATTAGATTAAAGTAGAACGTATTACAGTAATAATACATCTGAGATATACGAGGCACATAAAGCCACAAGTTTTCCGCACATTTCATACCCTCTCTAAAATCTTCAATATTTAAGTCATTAAATTCAATGCCCATTGTGTCTTTACAAAATTGCTTTGCAGTAGGCCATCTAAAATTTAAAACACTTTTAGAATACTTTTAAAAATTTTCAAAATTTATACTATGGAAATTAAACTCATCATCCCATATATTATATATTCATATCAAATAGAAGAAACTGATAATGCTCAATGATTCTTAAATTCCGGAAATTCTAAAATGTAAAAAACGCAAAACGTTTGCGCAAAATACTATTTTAAAATACATACATATTTACGCATACTATATATTTTTGATTTGTTTTACAGTCTTTTATTGCGACAAACTGATATTTTATGTTTAATGGCGATGTTGTAATAAAATGTTAAATAATAAGAAAATTTGTTTTCTATTTTATTACAGCATCATAGCGCGATGAAATATGTGCACAGATATATATTTAAATGTATATATATATATGTGTGTGTGCGCGCGCGCGTGTGTGTGTGTGTGTGTGTGTGTGTGCGTGCGTGCGTGCGTGTGTGTGTGTGTGTGTGTGTGTGTATATATTAGTTATATTATATATATATATATATCTATGTCATATAAATTATTATTAATTAACAGAGAAACTTTTTTGCATGTGTGAAATTTTAGGTGCAATCTTAGAAATTTCTTTACTGATGGAGTTATAATTAAAATGTATACTCTTTTGTATAAAATAATTATTTTTCAAGTTTTCGAGTATGTTTCTGAATTATATTGTTATACGAAAAATTACCTTATTAACAGTTATATTATAATTCTTACAATTGCACGTGTAGATATCGATAATATAACAAAAAATTATTCTTATAACAAAAATCTATTCTTATATAGCAAAAAATTATTTCTTCAGAAATTGTTTCATAAAGTTAAAATCTTTCATAAATCTATTAAAGCTGAACAAACTTTTTTTTTTTATAACTTTCACTTGCAATTTTTTTAATTTTGCACAATTTTATTCTAAAAGTTAAATTAAGTCATGTTTTAAAACGACACAATATCTGCAAAATTTTTGCGAATTTAAAAAGGCTAAGTATAAATAAATTTTAAAATATCTTATAAGTTCAGTTAGATATATTTTAAATGTCAGAATATTATTATTTAATTCTTCAAAGAGGCAGTATTTTGTGTAAAGTTATTTAAATATATTTTTCGCCATGTTTTTGCTAAGTTCCTTTTTATGAGATGAGTCCATCAAGTAAAATAACAAGAAAGTTCATACATAAAGAAACTTACTTCTGAGCATATTTTTTCTTCCAGAGAGTTTCATAATGTGATATCCACTCAAATCCCTTGCACGTGAAACTAAAATTCTCAACGTCGCTCAAACTAATGGTTTCGTTTTCGAGAATACTTAATATAATTTCGTTAGATAAATCCTGTATCGTGGTCATTATACCATTAAAGTAAAAATAACTTGCAGTTTTGATCTTAACAAATTGAATGATATTCTACATATGTACCAACTCCGCTTTGTAGAAAGCACGTGGCTTACTGCGTCGTGGACACCTATAGACTGATGGAGGCAACAAAGAAAAAAGATGGCTGTCCACGATGATATTGATCGAATGAATAATACATAAATGTGTGTGTGTGTGTGTGTGTGCGTGCGCGTGTGTGTGTGTATGCATAAGTATAAACAATATTAATATTACTAATACACTTTTTTTTTGTTAGCTTTAAATAATTTAACGTATTATCTATTTTTGATCCGAATCTTTTGTCAGATAATAAATCTCTCTACACACAGATAGCAAAGTTTATGGAAATTGCCATCAGATCAGCAACAGATTTCCACAAAAGTTGCTAGCAACTTGGCATCCGTTATGTCCGCATTAGGCTTATGATTTGCTAACAAAGCCTGCTGACAGACTCTGAGATCGCAGCAGATCGACGACAGAAACCGAGCAGCATCTGCTAACATGACTTGATGTCAGATTTGCGGCAGAAATCGAGCAAGATCTGACCGCGCACAATGTGATAGCAGATTGACAGCAGATACCGAGCATGATCTACAGTTTTTAACTATTGATAAAATGGGACATTTAAATGGATTTAAAGGGTTTTCCAGTTACTTTTTCGGATAAAAATTGATGAAAAATTAAATATATTGCTTTTTACTAATAATTTTTATAATAATTTTTTACATATTATTGCGCGCTTTATCTAATATAATCTTACAAAATTTTAACTATTAACAAAACATATAATACATATATATACCTATATATAACAAACAAATATTAATAATTATATTAATTATAATTGTAAATTTATTACTGATAATTGTTATTTAATTAATTAAGACATTTTATAAAACTTTAGTCTGAAAATGTGTGAAATAATTGATGTCCGAGAACCGGATTGCGGGATTTTCCGATGAGCGCATCTCCAGAAACCGCCTAAACAAAAAAAAGAAAATTAAGAATTAATATATAATTTCACACGGACAATATTAATATTATAATCGTAGAACACTATGAAGAGTGTTATGATTATAATATTAATATCGAGAACTAAAGTGTCTGGCATTAAAAAGTACCGATTGATATGTGTGATAATATTTATTGGGATGTAAAGGAGATAGTTTTTAAAATTTTGGCGCTGAAAAGTGCCGATTATTGCGAAACGTGGCGATCCATGTCAGATGAATAAAAGACACTGAAAAGTACCATTTGTCCTCTGCTCTTTTCGAGAGAGATGTGACTCACTCAACGACATATATATGTTACAATATATATATATATATATATACATATATATGTATGTCATTGAATCCACTGGTCGCGTAGTAATTTTACGTTCTCGTATATAATTGCTTCTTCTTCTTTTTCTTCTATCTGATCTTCTTATTTTTTCTATTTGCATTCGACTTGGTACTAAAAGTGCTTTCGGAAGCGTTCCATCAAAATAAAATCAAAATAAAAAAATAAAATTTAACCCTTAATCCGTATTGTTATTTTTGGCATCTACAGACTGTACAGGTAAGTCAATTATTTCTGATGCATTTATTAATTAATGAAAGTGTTTTAAAAAATTTTAAAAAAATTCATAACTTCTTTGATCTTCCTAAATAAAGATTAGAATAATAAATTTGAAAAATAATTTGTTTAAATAAATTTTTATAATTTGTTTAAATATATTAATTTTTATTACAATATTGTGAAGTAGAAAACTTATAATTTAGAAATTGCATGAACAAAGTTGACCAGATTACATCGTAAGGGTTAAAAAAATTTTTTTAATTAAATTCAAATAAAAAATTTTTAAAATTAATTAAAAATAAAAATAATAAATTAAAAAAAATTATTTTAAATAAAAAATTAAACGTTTCCAGTACTTTTAGAACCAATTCGAAAATATTCCCGCTTCTTTGTGTGGTATCCCGCGTTCTCGTTCCAGTCCTCGTGTTATTTGAAGATGATGTACATAAAAGTTGTTACATTATGACCAAATTATAAGAAAATTAAAAACAAGTAAAGCTAATGCATTAAAATTTTTGCGAGACATAAATATGTGTCTATCTTTATCTTTGTTTCTAAATAAATAACCAAAGACAGACACATATTGAAGTCTCCTTTAAGATTGAAATAAAAAGATCGTTTAAGATCGTTGATGCTATCAAGCAAAACCTAAGAATCTAAAACCTAAATAAGAACTAAAAACCTAAGAAAGAAAATCAAATAAGTTACTACATACCTGTCTAATTGTTTAAAACTTCTTCATTCGTACTTTCTCCAATCGGTTGCTCATCGTTCGATCGCTCGTCGTTCCGTCAATTTCGTTGATTCCTTGCGCCGCGCGCAACAGTATTCTTGCGTGATCTACTTCAGTGTCTCTCCTTAGACATCCTCAAAGCCTCCCGCATTTGCGCTTGAAATTCAGAGCGCGTTGGTTTCTCAAAATGCTTGTTTTGGCACACACCATCTAGGAAATCAAAACACAAATCATCATTAATTAATTATAAATTATTAATAAATTATGCATTAATTATCGTTTTACGTTAAAAACATACAAAGTAACATTAACAATTATACGTAAATAAATATCTTAATTCTCGTACCATAAATCGCCACAATAAGACGGGTATTGTATAACGGCCAGTGTCCTTCGCGGCTCCACCATGTAAAAGACGTCGCAATGGCATCCTTCAGACCTTCCTTCAGACACAGGTTAATAGTTTCTCTCAAATTAAAGCCGCCGATATAACGGAAATAATTTACCTATCGATCACAGTAATAATATAAGAATATATAAAAATACGAAAATCTGTAATACGAAAAAGTACAATTTACTCTTTTTTTTTTTACTTACGGCGTTGGAATATCCGTTTTCGTCGAACCTTTCAAAAGCATCCATGTCCGCAAGTGATGCTATGGGGAAAATAGCCGATTTCTGCGGTGCGCGATTACGATCTTACAAGAGTCTGTCTTTGTCTGAAAGCAAATTACAGCAAAGAAAAAAGAAATGCTCGAGGCATCGGCATAAGTATTAGAGACCGCGTACATCAGAAAGTATATATATTTAATATATGTTTCTAATCATTCATATATATATATATATATATATATATATATATTCATACTAAAAATATATATTAATAAAAATATATATTCATACTAAAAAATTCCAATAGAAGAAAGGTTCGATAATGTGTCACGGGAAAAAGCATGATACTTTTGATGAAGGCTTTTCATCCGATGATATAGATATTATATTTATTCATTTTGCATGGTTGACGATGTCTCAGAAAATTCTGGATCCCAAAATCCTTTAAAAGAAAAGATTATCATACATTTTACATAATCAATGTATTTTATATATATATATATATATATATATATATATATATATATATAAAACAACTGCCGACAGTCAATCGTTCCGAGAGCGAGAGTCTTCCATTCTTGTTCGTCGGTATATTCCGAGTACTGTTCTATGTCACGGTCATCGTGCGTGATATCTTCTTTGTTAATTATTCGGTCATTGAATTTACGGAATTTGCGTGCAGCCGTTCTTCGCGAGTGTGATAATTATTACGATTTTCGACTCGGCGAGAGAGTCACAAAATTGCCGTCGCCTTATTGTTAATTGTTTTTTTTTGTATCGCGCCGTGTCTCGACTCGTGTTTATGTGACCTCTGTGTATACCGCGTACCCGAGATATTGAGTTTGAACGACCGAACCGTTTACCGAACATTCCTGTATATTCAATTGTTATTATACTGTCGCGAGATTGTTAGAAGTTGTTAATCATCGTCATAGTTAATGAAAATTCGATTAGTCGATTCTGGTGATCGATCCAGTCGTACCGAAATCTTCGTCTCTGTTCATTATAGTCATCCGTATCTCTAGCCTAAATGTTAACTTTCCTCATATAATTATATTGTAAATTTATATTTATTCCACGTACAATTGTTAGTCATAATTGTCTGAAATATATCTGTCTATCCATGTCAACCTGTGTAAGTCTCTCTGAATATCTTCTTCTTCTTCTTCTTTTTATTTGGCTGGAGCTATAAAAGCTCATACACCATTTTTAGACAATTTTGACGAATCAGGCTTCAGGCTTTTGTATTTTTTGTATCTTCAATACTTATAGTTTCCTTTAGATGAGAAGCTATATCTTGACTCCAGTGCGTTTTGTAAAATTGGATAGTTCTTCGTAGATTATGTTCTGCTTGGAGAAGGCAAGGTGTGGTACGTCCAAGACAACAGTAGAATCACTCAGACAAACAGCGGTGATGAGTCTGTTGGAAAATACACAAAATTCAGGACAGTTAAAGAAAACATTGTTAAGGCCCTGGAATGGATGACCACAAGAACATTCAGGAGATTCAACAATATTTTTTTCCCAAAGGTGTCCCCGGAGCGAGACGTGGTGAGATCTAATTCGAGAAATCATGAGCACCAACCGTCTTGGCAGCTCTCGATCCGTCAGGCTATATCACGGAGGAGAAAGCACTGATTCGACCAGATTAAAATATCTGGCACCCTTATGTCTACTTTGAGTTAATAGGATGCTAATGACTTCTTCCTTCGCTTCTTTTTTAAATTTGGAATAAAGATTAGTGTAATGGCATTTACTCACCTGGAACGGATTATCAAGGTTCAAAGACTCCTTCGTCAACGCGTCAACGTATTCATTACCGGCAATACCCTTATGACTAGGGATCCAGTATATTTTTACACTTTTTCCAATTTGCTCACAAAAATACAACAGGCTTCTAGAATCCATTCCTCGACGACCAAGGCGTACTGCGCGTCGGAAGACGTCTCAAACACGCTCTGCTGCCCTACGACGAGAAACACCCGGTGATCGTTCCGCCGGACTCCTGGATGACTCGACTGTTAATTGAGTCTTGCCATTGTCGGACTCTGCACGGCGGCGTCCAGATGACACTCGGCCTACTTCGCCTTCGATTCTGGGTGCCACGCGGAAGGACTGTCGTTAAGCAGCAGTTGCATCGGTGCGTCACTTGCACTCGCTGGCGAGCTGCCACCCCACAACTTCCAATGGGCAACCTTCCTCGTGACCGAGTGACGCCAACTCGACCATTTCTGAGTACTGGCCTGGACTACGCGGAACCCATCTTCATGCGGACCAGCAAGGGGCGCGGACATCGCGCGCAGAAGGGACACATCGCTGTCTTCATCTGCTTCTGGTCGAAGGCTATCCATCTCGAAGTCGTCTCGGATTACACCTCCGAGACCTTCATAGCCGCCTTACGCCGCTTCGTCTCTCGCAGAGGCCTTGCACAGACATCTACAGCGACTGCGGCACAACATTCATTGGCGCAGATCGCACGCTGCGAGAGCTCTTCAAAGCGTCGACCTCCGAGAGCCATCATATCGCCCGCGCCGCCAACACTCAAGGAATCCGCTGGCATTTTAATCCGCCAGCGGCCTCTCACTTCGGTGATCTTTGGGAGGCTGCCGTAAAATCCACCAAATTTCACCTCCGTCGAGTAATCGGCGAGACCACACTTACTTTTGAGGAGCACTTAGCACACTCCTCACGCAAATCGAGGTGTGTCTTAATTCTCGTCCATTGCAGGCTCTGTCAGACGATCCAGACGACACCTCGGCACTCACACCAGGTCACTTCCTCATCGGAGCGCCGCTACTCGCTGTGCCTGAGCCATCCTTGACAGGTCAATCAGCATCCACGCTGTCACGCTAGCGTCACCTGCAGCTGATGAGATACCACTTTTGGCAGCGATGGTTGGCTGAATACGTGCACGAACTCACACCGCGCACCAAGTGGTTCAAGACCGAGGCCGCACCTCACGTCGGTGATCTCTGCCTCATACTCTCCTCATCCACGACCGCACTCACAATTATCTCATTATCGCCGCGCACTGCACTACACACTCGTCATTTCACGTCAACCACGTGTTTTCATCGTCTCAGCTGATCGTTTCGCACCACGCGATCATCACGTGTTTTCATCGTCTCAGCTGATCGTTTCACACAACGTGATCACCACGTGTTTTCATCGTCTCAGCTGATCGTAGGTCTGTTCTTTTTGGCTGAACTCGTTGCACGTTCAGGAAGTGTGCACTGAAGCGTTCTTTTCGACACCGGTGCTCGGTAGTGACACCGTACAATTATTATTTATTTATTTATTATTAAATAAAATAATATTTAAAGTATATATTAACTAAAATACAATTTCATAATTCTTACGTATATATATTTCATAGTATTTTCATCGTCTCAGCTGATCGTAGGTCTGTTCTTTTTGGCTGAACTCGTTGCACTAGTTCAGGAAGTGTGCACTGAAGCGTTCTTTTCGACACCGGTGATCGGTAGTGACACCGTACAATTATTATTTATTTATTTATTATTAAATAAAATTCTTACGTAATATTTATTATATATTTTTATTTTTATTTTCTTGTTTATTTTAATTTCTACACAATTTCATATTTTTGAAATATAAAACATTATTTTAGTAAATTTTAGTTAATATATACTTTAAATATTTTTTTTATTATTAAATAAAATAATATTTAAAGTATATATTAACTAAAATAATGTTTTATATTTCAAAAATATGAAATTGTGTGGAAATTAAAATAAACAAGAAAATAAAAATAAAAATATATAATAAATATTTAAATATATGCAAAACGCGGTGTAAAATAAAATATCTGAGAAAAAGAAATAGATAACATAGTAAAGTCATCCACAAAAAACTTAAACATTTATTTTGGTATAAATTTCGTGAAAGTCGGACAACAAATGTGGAAGTAGTTCGCGGTAATACAGAAAAAAGGATTAATTTCTTGTGTTAAAACGGATTTAATATAGGCTATATTAAACCGCGAAGCGCGGTCCTCATATAGCCTATATTACATCCGTTTTAACACAAAAATTAATTCTTTTTCTGTATTACCGCAAACTACTTCCACATTGAATTTCAATCCGGACTAAAAAAGAGCAGACACACACACTTCTGCACCATTCACAATATTATAATTTTAGATTATTCAATAATGTGTCGCGAACGACTGCGGCATCGTCTGGATAATGCTGTCCTAGCATGTTATTTGGCACATAATGAGTATCTTCAAACTTACAGAAATATTTTCCAACTTCTGGATTATTTATCCATTCTTTGCATACCGATGTTATAGCATCTAAAATATAAAAACGTAAAAATAAAAATATTTAGTATCAAATGTATTATGCCATGTAACATAAACAATATAAACAAAAATATCACAGAATATACAGTATATAAAGTATAATGAAGTATTACATATAATACACATACATTGTGGAACGTAACACAGATCATTCTCGATTAACAAAACGTAATGCGGTTGCGATTTCCAATTATCGATGTTATTTTTCTGTATACATTGCTCTTTAACATCATTTAGAATACAATATGTTTCCTTATGTATAAAGCGTTCAATGTGGCATTCGTTGTGCCACCCAATAATGACCCCAGCAACATCTTTTCGTGTATTATCTTCCATTTTATGCTTATGTGTAACTATCAATCCAATCGCATATTTTAGATTAGGCGATCTTTTTTTCCAAAATGTTTTATCTGGAGTACATATTTTCTGAAAAATTAGTATAATTGACGCTTTTATATATATTATGTAATTTATATTAATGTAATAATTTGAATTATAAATAATTATAATTAGATTTTTGCACATATAATTATTATATGTTATTTTGTTACATATCTTTAATTTATAATATGTACAATAAATGAATTCAATTCTCTTACCTCATCATAATAAATTATTGATGCTAATTTATAACCTGAATAGTAAAAAGAAAAGCGGCCACGTCTCCACAAATCATATATATCCAAAATGATATTTTCAAACGATCTATGCTTTAAAAAAATTGTTATTAAATTTTGAATCAAAATCACTTATGATATCATATGTAATGATTAAATTCAAATTATAAATGTGTGTAAAAAAATACATTTAAATATATTTTTGAAACTTTATAATCTAAAATTAATGTTATATATTATATGCTTTTTTTAATTTATTAGAATTAAGCTTATTGATTTCAATGTTCTTAAAATATTTTACAGAGGAAGCATCGCTGATTATGTCTTTTATATCAAACATCGCTGAATTAAACGTCCGCCCTGTTTTGGAGTTATAAACTTTAGAAAGTGAAAGTCCACAACTACCAATATTTTATATAAATATTAATTACTTACCAAATGTAGATTTCTGCTAGAAAATAAAGAAATAAAGCGAGGCGGCACTTGGCATTTTCTTATATTAGAAATCTTTGCATTATCTGTATTATCTGTCCATTCAAACGTGAAACATTCTCTATTTTCTATACACTTTCTATATAAACAATAAAGAAATAACATGTACATATACATCAGTGCTTAATATAGATGTTTAAAAATAATATTCATTCAATGATAAATTTTTAGAAAAAAGCTATATTACTTTGTATAATTAAATATTATATTGATATTATATTTTTTTATCTATTTTTTGAAATAGTTTGATTGTATAATTTAAGATGCATAACAAAAATAATTATAACTTTTAAAGATATTTATAAGTTTTAACTTCATTTAATTTAATTTAAAATTGTATAAATAAGATTGTCCAATTCGCTTGTCGACTTCTCAATTTTAAATCATTCTGCACATAAAAGTATCTATTGAAATAAACATATCAATGAAAAAAATAATCCATCAAATATACCGGGTGTCTGATGACTCGCGTTTTGTACGTTAATGGGAGATTTTTCAGGCAATTTGAAGACGATTTTTTCTCAGCGAAAATGTCGAAAAAGGTCATAATTTTTTTAATGTTCCCAATTTTTGAGATTATGTATCTTTGTAACTAAGCCTTAAATTAAGATTCTAAATTTTTTTTTAATATATGTAATATTATTTTTTTAACATCGACTTATATTATAATGCAATACATAAAATATTTGAGAGGGAAATTATAAACAAACATTTTTTTATTTGTGTCACAAACAACCACAAAATAATGATATTTAAAAAATATCGTTAATATTATTAAATTTTAGCGCTCGTATTTTAAATAAAAACAACAGAGTAAATTATGTATAAGCCTTTTGATGAATGTGAAATAGATGTTAGATATAAACAACTTTAATTATTTCAGAAAATTACAATCTTTAAATACGGAACATTTCAACATTTACTGTTGTCTTTTAGTCGCTATCATATGAAAATTAGATTATAAACAGAAATAAATAAACGGTCAAAAATTATGTTGTTTATGTATACATTGATTGCTTAAAGTCTGTAAGAAATGCTTATTTATATTGGTTGCTTCCTATGCTGTGAATATCTGTATATTGTGGTTGTTTGTAACACATTTGCAAAATATATAATTGTCTATGGTTCTTCTTAACTGGTTAATTTGTTGCAATATTATACAAGTCGGCACCCGCAAATTTTTTTAAACTACAAATAATAAAATTAATACATATAATAAATAATATATATACATGTGAGTATTACCGTATAACTATTTGTGCGTATAGTACAAATACTCAACAAAATAAATAAAAATAATTTCATAGATAAAATTATATATTTACCCGGATTGCCAATCCAAATGTGTATCTAGAGTATAATTATTCTCTATATAGTGTTTTGTTGTTACAACATGTAAACCCAATCTATTTGCAACGCAGATATATATAGCGAACCATAAAGTTTGTTTATAATATAAGGCGTCCTCTTTAGTCTATTATGTCAAAGAATAATAAATGTAAAAGTATAATAAAAATAATTATAATAGAGAATTAATATTATATATTTATGATAGATTAAAAAACTATATATATATATATATATATATATATAATTCATGATAGATAATAAAAAACATACATAAAAACTTAACATACCGGCGACTTACGAATAGGACTCATACTTATTTGATTCGGTTTCATCCATGATTTATAAGAATCAAAACTTATAATAATTATGTCGAGTACATCCTTAATCGACGTTGCGTTTTTACGCACCAAAAATTCTTATTAATACGATTATTTCTCCAAATCGAAAATTGTTTAGGTGGTATGGACAATATTGGATGCTGGAGATATTTATCTTTCAACAACTTCAATACTTCTTGCACGATATTGTCTATGAATTTATCTATGTACAACATAGTAATATCATTATTGGGATGACAATATTGTAATAATGCGACAATTAAATACTCCAAACGCTGCATATGATTGGGTTTTTCTGT